TACCGCTCGTGCGGACGCCTCGGGCCGCAGCAGCCGGTCGGGTTCGGCAACACGGAGCGGCGCCGAACGCTTCGCGTGTCCGTCCCCTGCGAGAGCGGGCAGCCGCTAATCATCTACTGGTCGGCGGAGTACGCCCCCGGGAGCTTCTTGTTTGCCGTGAGCGAGGAGCCGGGCAGCAGTGCGCACCGCCACCGGGCATTGTAGCCAGGAGAGGACCCCCCCCCAGCCTACACCACACGCACAGTCCTCGGCCGCACGCCTCGCGGATTCGGCGCTCGAGCGAGCCTCCTCTATCCCTTTAAAGGCTAGTTCCATTTCACTCTGACACGCGCTAATCTCTTGAAAACGTCTCCAACGGAGCTCCATGTTGCTCCCAGCGCCATCCCCCGCGCTCCCTGCGGCCATGGTCGATGATCCTAGTAAGTAGTATGAGAGGTCATCGGCTACCGCAACGGAGCGACCCAACTCGTCGACATCGTCGTTCGTCCGAACGTGATGGTGTGCCTCAAAGTCAGCCTTCGGAGGCTATCGTGGGGGTCGAGCCCTTAGGGGACCCGGTTCTGGGCCGGATTTTTTTAAGACCTTTTAAGAAACGAGGAGGTTTGGGGGCTTAAAATTGCCATTTAAGACGCCGTTTTCTCTGGGGGGAGGCGGGGGCCCCCGGAGGCACCGTGCGCCGCGCAGCAGTGCGGAAACGGGGCTCCGGCTCTACTAGTCTCTACTAGCACCGACTTCCCGAATGATCACGGTTGATCAGAGGGCAGATTTGGAGAGATCTCGAGGAGTACATACAGATAGACCCTCTAAACCATAAGAAACTTCCAACCTGATCGGTCGTACTGACCGCCGACAGATCACTCCAGACAGCAGACAGGCCGACGTCTGCACACGGCCGGCCGGGCGAGAGGCTTGACACGATCCGACCCTGCGACCCTGACGCTGCTGCTCTAGCTACCAGACATGCGCTGCTGACTGCTGCCACAATGTGCGACCGGTGCTGACCCACTTGGCGGCCTTCCCGGTCAGTGGTGAGGCGCAGTTCAGAGCTGTCGATGGCGCGATGCCGCACTGGTCCCACATCGGTGACACGAGACCACCACGTTTGCCGGTCCAAGAGAGAGGCACCGGCGCTGTCCTGAGAAGGTGCATGGTCCCTCTTGACTGCCCATGCGCGCGAGGCTGTGTAGGCATAGCCTCGAGAGTGCCAGCAGCCAATCCGAGGCAGTTTGTGACGCGCATTGCGTCAGAAGCGTGCACGCGCTGGAAGGACACCTTCCTACTGGCCGTACGATCAGGTCGTCACTGAATGCCGAAGACTAAGGCCGCGAGCTATGCAGGCGGTCAGTTGAGCAGCATGGCACGGTCAGCAGCGCCGAAAGGATGTCGCAAGGCGTGATAGCATGGCCGCAAGTACGCCGAATTCCCCCTAGGGCCCTCGCCTCCCCCCAGAGGCCGTTTTCTCTAATACTGCCGTTATTAGGCACAAACCCGCCTCTGAAGACACATCTGTAAGTCTGGGGTGCACTGGCAGGAGCCATACTCGCATAGGGGGACGCGTGCTAGCTGACTGTAGCCAGCTTCCCGGCCTCCGGCGTCTACCGGGAGCCTCCCGGACCATCGACCTCGGGAGCTCTCCCGCACCGTTTAAGCGTTTAAGACCGTTGAAGGAATTGGCGGCCCAGCAGCTCTTAAAACCGGCCTAGGCCGGTTTTAAGCCGTTTAAGCCGCAGGCGCCCCAGGGGCGCCCACCCTTTTAAGCCTAGGGGTCCCCTAAGGTCGAGCCGGCGGTGGCCGTGACATGTGGTTCCACCACCCCTCGTAGGCTTTGCCTCTGACCGCCACCGTTCCCAGGCTGCCTAATGATATGGAAAGGAAGGCTCGGCGAGCGTATAGAAGCGTGCTCGACCTCGTCGTGGCAACCTGCACGGCAGCGCTGGCAGGCGCGATGAGCGTCGTGCCACCTGACCCGAGACGGGTCACAGGCGTCGTAGCGAGCGCGTCGAGACCGTGTACTGAGGTGCTCTGCACGGGTGACTGAGTCACGTCGGCGTCAAAGGAGCGACGTGTGACCTGTCAGAGCGTGATCTCCGATCTCAGCGACGTCGATTCGCCTTCGGTGGCGACAGCTAGGATGCATATCCTCTTTCGTTGGTTTTCGTCCGATGGCCCTCTTCTGGCGGGAAGCTGGCGGGTGCACGCAGACGGACCTTGTGTGTGCACGGAACGCTTAAAAAGTGGGTGCTCTACCGCGTCACTTTTTTGAGTAGATCGTGCCCCGAGCTGGCCGTCTATTTTATATATAATATAATATAATATTTTACAGTGAAATCGGGAACGGGATGCAGCCAAAGTCTATCGCGCGCGGCTCGCGACGCCGCCGCGACGACGGGCCGACAGTGTTTTCTCAGAGTTACTCGAACAAAACGGGTATAGCAGCGATTTCTCAGCCCCGGGCCGCTCGCGCCTCGCGCGGCCGCTGCTCACGCGAGATGTTCTTCGAGCGCGAACGACAACGACGCACCACACGACGATCTGCAGGAGGTATCGCGGGACACAGCCGCTGCGCAGGCTCGGCTCACGGGCGCCGCAAGGCAGCCCGGGGCATCAGGGAGAGGGCAGGTGTGGGTGGGTGGGTGGGGAGAGTGGGGGCGGGTCCAACGGTAGCGTGCGTAGAGGCCAGGGGCTTGGAGAGGGGTAGTGTACACGGCTCCGATTCAGTGCGCGGAGCCGGACGCCGCCTACTTGCGGGAGGAAGAGGTGTGAAGAGGCGCCCCTGAAAGCGGCGCGGGCTCCTGCCAGTTGGTCGCCTGCGCCAGCAGCGGTGAGAATACTAGTGAGGCCCT